AACGGTGCACCCAGCGCGGTGCCAAGCACTTTCCACCAGGGGTTTGCAAATTTACCAAATTCCACTTCTCTGCACCTCAACTGGAAAATGGGAAAAGAGAAGCTACCTCCTGGGGACTGGTGTAGGTCCCATCAACTAGGGTGTAGAATACACTTGCTAAATTTATCCCCATCCTCTACACCTGGATAGAAAACTTCACTCTTGCCATCCAGACACACAAATATACATAGACACACACGTTCCCAATGTGCAAATGAAGACAGGAAGATGTTACTGGATGAATGCAGTAAAGCTGAGGCTCAGGCTAATCCTTAATCGTCATTATTTCAGTATACATTCACAGGAATCCATTGAGATGGAAATGATCCCATTCACAGATCACGCAACTGAGGCCTGCAGAAGAGAGTGCCCCAAGTCCCTAGCTAGCAGTGCAGGTAAACACTTCAGTGAATTTAGAGCCAGAAGAAATCACCTTTGAGAGATGTGGCCAAGACCCTGGTCAGCAGGGGAAGAAAGCAAGGCCACAGGAGTTAAAGGACTCCCTGGTGCGCCCCACTCTTAATGTAGACCTACTGTGTGCAGGCGGTGCTGGTGCCCAAAGGAGCCTGTCCTCACCACGCTGCTTATTCCTGCGTGAAGACACCGAATCCCTCAGTATCAACTTTCCCCCAACAGCCCCATCCAGTCACTCTGCACCCGCCCCTGCACTATACAGAAGTGAGCAGGCACAGACACGCCACTCTGGGACTGGGATCTGAATCTGGAGTGTCCGTGGTTCAGAGCACTTGGCTGTTTCGGGGGGTGGGGGCGGGCAGGTAGGGTGGGGTAAATATAAGGGAAGAACCTCAGTGATTGCCATGTGTGACTAGGATTCAGAAAGCTGGAAACTCTTGAACATTTAGGTGCAGCTCAAATGCAATTTAAAAAAAAAGTTATTTAACTCATTTTATTTTCATCTTTTACTTTTATTCCTTTTCTCAGTTTTTGAAGCATCATTCTCAGCTCAACACTTATTCATTCAATACTTATTAAGCCCCTACTATGTGTCAAACTGTGTCCCAAGCACTGGGCATTTAGTGGTAAGCAAAACAGACTGCTTCATAACGAGCATCCTTGGTGTGACAAAGGGCAGATCCAAGGGGAGGAGAGAGCTATCTTTCTGACAGATGCCTCTCAGTGTACCCAGCCTCATACCCATCATCCTGGCAATCCCCCCTGCTCCCAACAGCCCTCCAAAGCTGGTGCTACCACCATTCAAGAAAGTGAGTACAGAGAGTGTAAGTAGCTTTCCCAAGGTTGAACAGCTCCCCAGTGGAGGTACTAGGATTTGTTCTTTTGTTTGCTTTTTCACTGGAGGAGAAATTTTATTTTACATTTACAATTTCAATTAAACTTTGGTTGAACAGCGACACTGCATCTGAGCCTCGGGAACACAGGGCAGCTTTCTAAAGGCCTCACTACTCCCCTCCCACGCTGGTTCCCTGCTCGCAGGCCCGCTCCCACCTACCACAAGGAACTGGGATTTCCACTCATGCTCGCACCATCACCTGCTGCCGCCTTGTGCACCATTAACCCTGGGGCTCAGGGGGAGTGGGACGAAGCGGCCCCTGCCTCAGCAGAGGGGAAGAGAAGCGGCTCAGACTGATTTCTCACGGGCCCAGCATTCGGGTTGGGGTGTGGATGGGGGTGGTCAACAACGAAACATCTACAGTTTGGCTGACTGGGGCCTCCCCCTCCTTCGGCAGCTGCTCTGTGGGCTCCTCGCTAGTTCTGGATGGCTCTGGGGACACCATCCCCAGCTCAGGTGTTCTAGGGGTGCCGTTGGCAGACCTGCAACCTGAGGGCACCTCTCTACAATGTCACCCCCAAGCCGAGGTGCCAACTCCTGTCCAGACTGGCTGCCACTGCCCCGCCCCCTGCACCATGGAACTGCCAACACCCACCTCCTCCACTCTCTGCTTCTCCTTTCCTCTCCCTCTGTGGGCTCCTCTGCATCTGTGCACCTGCTTCTTGTCTGCCCAGAGCTGCCTGCTGACTTCCCACAAGCACTCACGCCCAAGACCTTGGCCCCTAAACCAAGTGGCCTGAGGGGAACAGGGAGCTGGATGCGCCACAGTGTGAGCCCACTAGACATTTCTCAGCAACTTCATTTAATATCTCAGTGGGGCTAACATTTCTCAAACAGGATGTTAGGGTCACTGCTGCTCTGTAACAAGCCATCCCAAAAGGTACTGGCTTAAAACAACCGTTTTCCTTGATACAAATAAACTTACAAAACAAAAACAGACTCACAGACTTAAGAGAACAAGCTTATGATTGCCAGGGGGAAGGATGGAGAGAAGGGATACTTAGCGAGTTTGTGGCTGACATGTACATACTGCTATATTTAAAAGGGATAACCAACAAGGACCTACTATACAGCACACGGAACTCTGCTTAATGTTATGTGGCAGTCTGAATGTGAAGGGAGCTTGGAGGAAAATGTATACTTGTATATGTATGCCTGAGTCCCTTCATTGTTCACCTGAAACTATCACAACATTGTTAATCAGCTATGCTCCAATACAGAATTAAAAAAAAAAGTTAAACATAAAGAAAAAAGAAAGAAACATCACCATGCTCATGGTTTTGCAGGTCAGGATTGTGGGATGGGCTCTGCTGGATGGTTCTTCCTTGCCTCATCGAGTGCCTACAGTCAGATGCTGGCTGGGCTGCAGACACTGGAAGGTCCCACCTGGCTGGATAGCCAAGCTGAGTCATTCTTGTGGTAGGAGCTCCATGCGGCCTTTCCAGGCAGTCAGACTTTTTACTTCCCCCAGAGCAAGCCTCCCAAGAGAACTAGGCAAAAGATGCAGGACCTTTGATGGCCTGGCGGTGGAAGTCACAGAACGTCACTGCTCCCACACCCTTGGTCAAAGCACAGAAGAGAGGGCACAGACCACACTTTCCAACAGGTACAGATCAGCGAATCTGCAGGCTTGTTTTCAATCCTCCCCAGGTTTTAAAACAGATATGACAGGGAATTCCCTGGTGGTCCAGGGATTAAGACTCTGGTCTCACTATGTTAGGCCCCAGTTTGATCCTTGGTTGGGGAACAAAGATCCCAAAGGCCAGGAGGTGTGGCCAAATCAATTAATTAAAAGAACAGACACAATATGTGAAAGCACATAAACAGTGCCTGGCACCAAGCAGACATTCAGTGAAAGATAACTGACCCTTCTTAGGGGAAGGAGGGTCTAGATGGACGAGTTTGAATCCTGGCTCCACCAGCTCTGTGTCTTTGCTCACGTCACCTGACCTCTCTGAGCTGCAATCGCCTCCCAGGCTGGCTCACCCAAGGGGCAGTTTGAGCCCAGGTCTGTAGCTTTCCGGAACCAGCAGGGCTGAGTTCAAATCCTGGCTCCTCCACCTCCAGGCCTGGCCTTTGTTCAGCTTCCCGTCTGTAACATGGGGTGATCATAACAGCATCTTTCTCTGCCAAGGGTGCCATGAGCATTAAATGGTTAATATACGGAAGCGAGTCAGACAGGTCTGGCACTTAGCAAGTATTAGTTAATATTACTGTTATTAGGGTCAATAGAGTACAGAGGGAGAGGTTTGATTTCCATCAACTTTTCCATCATTGTGCAATTTTAGACTTTGATTTCCAAAAAACTGCATTTCAATTTGAATAAAATGGTCAGCATTTGAATAAAATGTCATGAGCAATGTGGACTCCTGGGAGGTCCTGGATGAGAAAAAACTGAGAGGCACCCAAGGGTCCTCTCGGGAAGGGACTTGTCACATACATCCGTGGGAATCCCAGCAAAGGAGCCTATGTGTCACCCAGGCAGGAGTTAAGTCATGGAGACTTTGAGACCAAGGAAAAGGCCGTCTGGTCATAATAAAGCCCAGGTTGGAAAAAGGAACGCTTGGGCCTGGAGAGGTTCCATCCTCTTGTCTGCTCGCTCTCTCAGAACCAAGGTGGGCTGATGCGAGGACCACACACATCTGCAGAATGGTGGGGTTTGCAGATGGCCATGAAAGTTTAATCACCCACAGCAAAGATCAAAGTCTCTCTTTCCTGTCTCTCGAGGTGGCTGCCATAGAACTGATGGGTCTTGAACTCACACCAATGTCTTCTTACCAGCTGTTTTCATTGGAGTCTCCTTGAGCTGGACGCCAAGCGCCAGGGTTGGGGAGTTCCAGCTTCTCATTTGTTCCTGCCACACCCATTTAGCAGCTGCACAAAGCCACTGAGCCTCAATTCAGCATCAAAGACCTCTAACAACTTGAGTCAAGGAGACAAGGGGGTACCATTTTGTGATGGGCATTAGTTTAGAAAGAAGAACAAAAAAGTGGGAAAGATGATGACCCCTCTGTGTTGACAGGTGCCAGTCGTGTGGTCCTCTGGGATCTCGGTGGGGTGGTTTGCTTGACTTGTTGGAGAGGAAGGGCCCAAGGGTGATTTCCACATCTTATGTTCGTAGGTGACTCTTGGTGGGGTTGTGAATCTAGGGGAAGATCTCGAGCAACTGAAGTGGCATGTGATAGAAACCCACTTGAGGTAGCTTGAGCACAGAAGAGGGTTTCCTGGAAGGACACTGGGTTACTGTGGGATTCAAGGACAGCCAAGACCCTCAAAGAACGAGAGTCAATCCCGGAAGAGCACCAAGCGTGCTGTCAGTACTTTCTGCGAAGTTCTCACCTCTCACCATAGGGGTCCCTGCCTTCTCCCTCTGCAGCCTGGCCTTGCTCATCGCCTATGGACATGACTACCCCACCAGCACAGCAGCTCACATCTCCCTTGCTCCAGGGACCAGCTCAGGGTGTACACAGTTGTCTCCCTGTTGGGAGGAGATGTCACCCCACAGTCAAGGCCCCAAAGGGCCTGGGATTTAATGCCCCTGAGACATCGGCCAACCATGGTTAACAGGGCTGGGGGTGTAAATACCCCAGACCCTGCACTCTCGGCTGGGATGACTCAGAGGTGGATGTTTCCCAGAAGATTCTCTAGCTGGTCACGCAGTAGTCATCAGCTTAATGCTATACACATTACATTCCTGCCCTTCCTGCATCACTAGACTTACCTCCTTCTTGTATTCCTTGTGAGGGTGCACACTCAGTCGTGTCTGACTCCTTGCGATCCCATGGACTGCAAGACTCCAGGCTCCTCTGTCCGTGGGATTTTCCAGGCAAGAATACTGGAGTGGGTTAGCCATTTCCTCCTCCAGGGGATCTTCCCAACCCAGGGATTGAACCCAGGTTTTCCTGCACTGGCAGGTGGATCCTTTACCAACTGTGCCACCTGGGAAGCCCCTGTATTCCTTGCACATCTCAAATAAGCTGCCTGCCCTCAAATCTTCAGCTCAGCATCTGCTTCTGGGAACCCAAACTATGACAAGGACCTGAAGTTTAGGAAGGCGAGCCCAGGAATCTCTCTGTTCGCTGAGGATATCTGTGCATTCATTCTTCTAGCCACTGAATATTAGTTGAGCACCTACTACATGCCAACATGTGGGCAAGTACAGGAGAAAACCAGGAAAGAACCGAGAAAGTCTAGCCATATAAAGAGAGGAGGGCTTTTTACAAGAAATTGGGAAGCCAAAGGCTGAGCTGTGGTATTATTTAACTATATAAAAACGATGACTCACGTAGGAAAAGTGAACACCAAGTCCCAGAATACGATGGGCACCCCCTTAAAGTTCGAGAGAGGTAGTTTTGAGCAAATGAAAGGAATTCTTCAGCCAACAGTGAAGAGCAAATTTATCCACCTTGAGTTACCCCACAAGAAGTAATACAAGCAGAAAATGTAAATAGGCTTTTAAAAATAAATGAATGCTGGAGTTCATTTTTCATTCTATTTGATGACATTTACTGAGGACTTTCTTTGGACCAGGCATCCTGGAAAAAAAAAAAAAAAGAGATGAATAAGGCAGACATGAGACAAGCCTTTTGACGGAGGGACCCCGGGTGGATGGTCAATGTGTCCTCTGTGCTGAGGGCAGTAACAGGGATCTAGAGGCTTCCAAGGAGCCCAGAGGGGGTGGGTGTCTGGACCAAGAAGTGAACGGAGGCTTCACAAACAGACGTGATGCAGGGCCAGCTGCAGGTTACAGAAAGGTAACTAGGACAGACAGGAAGAAAATGAGATGATGTGTCAGCTCCTGTGAGTGGCAGGCCCAGGAGGAGACAAGTTCAGACACACCTGGGACCAGGACCTCAGAGAAGATGGTCCCAACCCCTCCCTCCACTCCCCTGACCTCCCCCTCCTCTCTGGGCTCTGCCTAGCACCTCTGGTCACTCCGTGAGGCAGAGTAGGTGGCCACTGGTAGCTATGATTCAACAGGCCACACCTCACACCTGGCTTCAAACTGAGAAGCAAAATCCCAGGGAAAAACATGATTGGCTGGGCTCAGGCCACACGTCCACCTTGGCAGATGCTGCCGTGCCCTGTCCCGTCAGCTGCCAGCAGGCGTTCCTCTGCCCTGGGCATGGCACAATACTGGCAGGGAATCACACCAATAACTTAATAAGAAATGGAGTGCAAATACCCCAGCTCCTTCACCCCTCAGGGCGGTGACAGTGGCTCCCAGAGACCCCCGGGGTCCCAGAGACTCCCGCTGCTGAAGCGGGAGCTGGTGTGATGCCCACCCTCTGTTGGCCCTTTCCCTCCTCTCCCTCCTCCTGGCATTTCCTGGGATCATCTCCTCAATAAACTGCTTGCACTCACATCCTGTTTTGGGGTCTGTTTAGGGGGAATGCAAAGCAGGACACCCAGACGTCACCGCAACCCTGTGGCCGAGGGCCAGGACCTGGTTTGTGTGTTCACCCAGTGGCCAGGGCAGCCAGAGTCAGTGATCCGTGCAGGGGAGGAACAGCTGCCCCAAAGAAGCAGAGAGATGGGCAAGAGAGATAGGCAGAGAGATGGCCAAGACAGATGGGTCTGGAAGGATGAACAGGAGACACACCATGGCAGAGAGGTGAGGCTGGGGGGTGGGGACCTGAGTGAGCCTTCTGAGCAGTGTAGGCTGGAACCTAGGGGGAGAGAATGAGGAGACCACAAAAGGCAAGGCTCGCATTTGGGGCAGATCCTGGGGCACCCTTGGGGAGACAGCCTGGGGCCAGGGGAGCTGGGATGGAGGTTTTGGGGGAACTCATGGCACCAAAGAGGATGGTGGGCCACAGCCCCCCCATAGCTCCCTTCCACTCTGGGTGCCTGGGTGCTGGGTGAGCCCTGAGCTCACAGGAGGGAACTAGGAACCCAAGCTCATTGTCTATTGAGTGCTCTCCATGAGTCCTGTCTCCTATCCTTCATGCCAGTGCTCTGAGGTGGGACCTGGGACATCTCCGACAAATGAGAGGAAAACTGAGAGTCACACACATAAATAAGTGGCCCAGGATCACACAGTAAGAGATACAGAGGCTGGGAACCAGTGGATTCCAAAACCTGACTGTTTAACAAATCAGTGATGTGGTAATTTATCATTAATAGGTCCAATGCAGCATCTCTCTCTCTCTCCATCTCCCTCCCTCCCTTTCTGTCTCTTCCTGAATCTATTCAGGTCCTGAGTCCCAACTGTGAGCTTCCTGCTAGCAAGGGCTACCTGCTGAAGCAAGGAGGTAGTCAGACAAGAGTCAGTTTAAACAGTTCAGTTGCTCAGTCGTGTCCAACTCTTTGCAACCCCATGGACTGCAGCACGCTAGGCTTCCCTGTCCATCACCAACTCCCGGAGTTTACTCAAACTCAAGTCCATTGAGCCTGTGATGCCATCCAACCATCTTATCCTCTGTCATCCCCTTCTCCTCCCACCTTCAATCTTTCCCAGCATCAGGGTCTTTTCCAATGAGTCCGTTCTTCGCATCAGGTGGCCAAAGTATTGGAGTTTCAGCTTCAGCATCAGTCCTTCTAATGAATATTCAGGACTGATTTCCTCTAGGATGGACAAGAGTAGCCCATGAAATTCTTTGGTTAGAAAGTGCTGGAACCTTCGGGGAGCTTTTTGTTACAGGATTTGGGATGGAAATGCTTTCATGGTCTTGAAGTATAAACAACTACCCTGGAACGCTCATGAGCCATTCCTCCTCAGCCAAGGAAAAGTTTATAAGAAGTGATAAGGTCGCCAAACCATCACTGCCCAGATGACACAGTGTGTGGCCATCCCAGGGCCATAATACCAGCTTCCTGAGGCTCGGTCTCAATGATAGATCCCTTGCCTAGTAGCGACGGAATGCTCAAGTTGCCTCCAGATAGCTCATCTCTCTTCTTCCTTAAAAACAGGAAGATTTTTGATTGTCACTCAGCTAAAGGATGATACTTCCCAGCCAGCCTCGCACCTTCTCTTGTCTGTATAACTACATCTAAGTGTGGCTTCGAGGAAATCTCCCTCAAGGGAGACTTCACTGTTCACCTTCTTTCTTCCTGCCTGGAATTTGCATATGGTGGCTGGAGTGCAGCAGCCACTTTAGACCATGAGGTATGGTGGGAACAGAAGCCTTAAGTAGTGGCACCTGGCCACCTATGACTAACACAGGTTTCTATATCAGTCCCACTACCTATCTCAGATTTCTTTTACATAAAAAGATAAATAAATTTTTATCCTGATTTAGGTGAGGAGGAGGGGTGGGATTTTTATTCCTCCCCAGTAGCTACTTCTGATAACATCTTTAGTTTAAACCTGATAACAGATCTAATGTTAGAACAGGGGAGTTTATTTTTTGTTATTCTTTCTTTGTTTTTCCTCTTTGGGATTATCCATCTGGAACCTCTTCATCCTTGGAGGCAAACAACAAAATGGGAGTATGACAATATCTTTACAAAAAGGGGGAGACTATGTTTCACAATTTTGGGAGACTCGTTGCTCATGCTGTTTTTGAAATCATTAACCTGGAACAGGCCAAACCCATATCCGAAATACTCCTGGGCTCGCGCCATCACCATGGTTCCTGCCTGCTTCTCTCCTCTCTGATATTCCAGGAGCAGAGCCAGGGAACCCCAATGACCGTGGCTGAGAATGCCTCGGAAGCACAGCTCTTCTGGCAACTGCTACATTGGTAATTGCTTTCTCCTCAGTGACAATCATGCTTTTCCAGAGCAAGCTGGGCCCTGGGTTTCACACCCAGGGTGTGGCATTTCTGGAAGATTCTAAACCTTCCTGTCAGCCTGCGGATGGAGCCAAGCATCCCGATGCTGCCTATTCGCTCACGAACAGCATCCCCCAGTGTGTTTGCTATATACCCTTCATGCCAGCCCAGGAGACTGAGGGATGAAAAGAATGGAAACCTGTCTCCCCTCCAGACCCCAGCAAGGGAACCCCTCCTGCTGGGGAGGGCCTGAGCCTCCAGAGCTCCTACTGGACACTGAAGCCAAGCTCTGTCCTTCTTGTCCTGAGACCCTGGGCAAACGCCTTGATTTTCCCATCCCTCATCTCTCCATCTGTGAGATGACAATAGTAACAGATCCTCTGGACAAAGCCATTGTAGTGTGGTTTTTTTCTTTTTTTGGCTGCACAGCTCGGCATGCAGGATCATAGTTTCCTGATCAGGGACTGAACCCATGTCCCCTGCAGTGGAAGCTTGGAGCCTTAACCACTGGACCGCTGGGGAATTCCCCAGAGCTGCTTCAGTAAACGAGGTAACTGTTGGCATCACCCCCGTGAGAGAAATGTGTTTTCTCACAGTATCTGTGGCCAGAGTCTAAAATCGAGGAGTCGGCAGGGCTGGACTCCCTCTGAGCCCCGAGGGGAGGATCCTTGCTCTTCCCCTCCAGCTTCTGACCTGCCCACTATGTCCCCTGCTCTCCGTACACAGACAACAAGTCACAGCGTATTCAGTTCAGTTCAGTTCAGTCGCTCAGTTGTGTCCAACTCTTTGCAACCCCATGAATCGCAGCATGCCAGGCCTCCTTGTCCATCACCAACTCCTGGAGTTTACTCAAACTCATGTCCATCAAGTCGGTGATGCCATCCAGCCATCTCAATGTGTTAGGGCCATGCTAATCCAGTAAGGGCTTCACCTTATTACATCTACAAATCCCCTTTGCCCATGAGTCTTGGAAGAATGCTGTTCCCTTGACTCTAAAATGCAAGACCAAGAATATGGCAGAAGTGATGCTGGGCCAGGCCTTAAGGATCCAGCAGCTTCCACTTCTTCCTTGTGTGGCACTTGTTCTCGGGAGCCCACCACACGCCAGAAGGAAGCCCAAGCTGCCCCCAGGGAGGGGAGCTGGCAGGCAGCACCAATGTGCAGTCTGAATGCAGGTCCTCCAGACCCAAGGTGACAGGAACAGGGAGGGATGATCCACTCCTTCCTGTTACAGCATGGGGCTGGGCACACA